TGCCTGAAAGATCAGGTGAAGTGGAATGCTGAGCTCAGATGCACATTCTCTCAGAACCCATGGTGAAAGTTTATCTGGACCAACTGCTTTGTTCTTACTTAGCTCCTTGAGCATTTTTTCCACTTCATCTCTAGACACCTCTATATGCTCTATGTTGTTCTCTGGAATTCTTATTGTGTCTGGTTCTCTGAAGATCTCATTTTGTACAAACACACTTTGGAACTTTTTGTTTATTTTTTTTTTTTTTTAATTTCCTTTTCATTTTCCATGTATCTGTCCCCCATTTTCAACCTCTGAATATTATTCTTTACCTGCATCTTACTTTTAATGAATTTATAGAAAAGGCCTAGATCTGATTTACATTTGTGTGCTATACCGTTCTCAAAGTTCCTCCCTGCCTCTCTCCTTACTGACGTGTAGTTGTTTCTTGCATCTTTGTATTGCTGGTATGTTTGGAGGTTTGGCCTCTTTCTATAATGATTCAATGCTTGTGTCTTTTGATCTCTGGCCCTCTTGCAATTTCTGTTGAACCAACCCTGTTTCCTAGGTCTGCATGTCTGTTTTGGTATGAATGTTTGTGTGCCTTCATCATATATTGTGCAAAATTTGGCATACATCTCATTTACTTCCTTGCCTAGCAACAAGTCAGTCCAATTATACCCAAGAAAAAAATTTCTAAGTTCCCCATAGCGTCCTCTCTTGAAATCGAGTTTAACAACTGTTTCACTGTACCCATTTTCTACTAGATTATATTGCAATGCGTATTTAATGTCCAAGAGGACATGATTACTCTTTCCCAAGGGAGGAAGATACTGGATGTCAAATACCTCCTCTACTTTCCTGGTGAATACTAGATCCAGTACTGACGGAACATCCCCTTCCCTCATTCTTGTGTCCTGCTTGACGTGTTGATACATGAATGTCTCCAAGATGAGGTTTACAAATCTGTCTGTCCAAATGTCCTCTGTTCTTGTCTTGTAGGCCTCCCAGTCTATTGCCCTAAAGTTGAAGTCCCCCAGTACCAGCAATCAGGATTTATCTTTGTCAGCTCTTACCATAGTCTCTCTCATGACCATTATGAGGCCCTCTCATTTGTCATTCAGTTCTTCCTTTGTCCATGTGTTGCTTGCTGGTGGGCTGTAGGCATTTAAAAATATCAACTTATCTTGATTCCAGAGCTGCATTGCCATTATGTCAATATCTCGAAGGTTTTCAAACATTAATTCTCTTACCTTCAGGTGTTCCTTCACCAGCACAACCACTCCTCCCCCCCTACCTAGTTTTCCTGTCACGTCTCCAAACTGAGTAGCCCCTTGGGAATACGACCTCATTTAAAATATTTTCTTAAAGTTTCGTCTCTGTTAATGCGACAATATCTGGGACTTTGATCTTGATTATATCCTTCAACTCCAATATTTTCGATCTCACTCCATCTATGTCGGTGTATACTATTTTCAGGAACATGTTCCCCTTCCCTTTGTTCTTTACACCCCTTTCCATTAATGATTTTGTTGCTTTGTCTTTATGTACCATTTCACAAGCTTTCCACTCCCTGACACTGTAGAAAAAAAGAATTTCTTTCTTCTTCATTTCTATCCCCATTTAGACGTTTTGCTATAATGAGGTTCATTTTCAGCTTTTCTCTGTCCTCCTTTGAGAGATCTCGTCTTATTGACCACAGTTTGCCATCTTCGTCACATTGCAATTTTCTGGCATTCCAAAGCACTTCTGTCATATACTTCACTGTGATAGAATGGGAAAGTTTTCCACCAATCTGTAAACTCTGTCCCAACATCATAAGCAAATCGGCACATTCCTTGCTTCGGCGAACCAGAGTATGCCGAACCAGGTGAGTAAATCCAACCTGAAAAGTATGCGACCTAGCCGGAGATGCGGCGAATTGGGATACGTTGAACCAAGGTTGTACACTATTGTCAAGAATGTTACTAGGGAAATGCTGTCATCATCATATGATGATATACACAATTATTGTCTAGGTTTTACATGTGTGATGAAAATATTAATATAAAAACTCTGTGGATGTAAATAAAGAAAAACAAGTGATAAAACAATTGTTGAAACATCATATAATAAAACGGGAAGTGTCGGCAAAATCGAGCACCATTAAGATACCTCTCAAGATAATTTCCAAATACAGTACTATCATATCAGAATCAGTGTTCTTAGCCTATAAATAAGCTCTTGAACTTATAAATGGATACAGCATATATGTTTTATGTACAGTGGTACCTCGGATTACGAGCGCCCCTGGTTACGAATTTTTCGGGTTACGAGAAGGATTTGCACGGAAAATTTGTATCGGTTTACAAGGGTTGCCTCAGGATACGAGTTTGTTGATACGCGTACGGGCCGACCTAGTGCATGGTGGCACGGCGATCGCTGTTCAGTTTGCCAGTGCCTTGCGCCCAGTGACTATCTCGCCTGAATTCTTCACAAGGATTTACCGTTTATTTTCGGAGCTTTTGCTATTTGAGCATAAATTTTTTTATAATATACATCGTAGTGGGTCCCAAGAAAGCCAGTGGTAAGGTTCAAGGCAAGGAATGGCATGTAAGGATGACAATAGAGGAAAAGCAAGAGATCATTTGGAAGCATGAAAATGGTGCACGTGTTGTTGAACTTTGTAGGCAGTACAACAAATCCATGTCAACGATATGCACTATTACTTTCCAAGAAAAAGGACATTATGAGTTCCAAAGTGGCAAAAGGAGTACCAACAATCACGAAACGAAGACCACAAATACTTGAGGAAGTGGAAAAGTTGTTATTAATTTGGATATACAACAAGGAGTTAGCGGGTGATAGTGTTTCGGAGGCCATCATTTGTGAGAAAGCCAGGGTATTGCACGAAGGCTTTGTAAAGAAAACCCCCTGGGAACGAGTGCAGAGAAAGACTTTAAGGCAAGCAGGGAATGGTTTGAGAAATTTAGAAAAAGAAGTGGTATTCATAGTGTTGTGAGGCATGGGAAGGATGCCAGCTCAGACAAACCAGCCGCTGAGAAATTTATTGAAGAATTTAGAGAGTTTGAAAGGTAGGTTTACGTTTGTGCTGTGTTCAAATGCGAGTGACAATTTGAAAATTAAACCCTTGCTAGTGTATCATTCTGAAAATCCAAGGGTTTTCAAACAGTATAAAGTGCAGAAAAATCAAATGTGTGTGATGTGGAAAACTAATAATAAGGCATGGGTGATTAGGATTTTTTTTCGGAGTGGGTGAATGAAGTGGTGTGCCCTGCCATAGAAAAATATCTGCAGGAGAGACATTTGCCACTCAAGGCCCTGCTTCTCCTCGACAATGCTCCTGCTCATCCTCCAGGCTTGGAAGATGAATTGTTGCACAGATACAATAAATTTCTCACTGTAAAGTTCCTTCCTCCTAACACCACTCCTTTAATTCAGCCTATGGATCAGAAAATCACAGCGAATTTTAAGAAACTTTATGAAAGAGCACTTTTCCGGAAATGTTTTGAAGTGACGGAAGCCACAAACCTCACCCTCAAAGAGTTCTGGAAACACCATTTTAACATTTTTAGTTCTTTAAAACTCGTTGACAAAGCCTGGCAAGAAGTGACTCAAAGAACCCTGATCTCTGGCTGGAGAAAATTGTGGCCTGAATGTGTGAGAGAACTAGACTTTGAGGGGTTTGAGCCTGTAAATGATGCGCCTATTGTTGAGGAAATTGTTACTCTGGGCTGGCAAATGGGCTTGGAATTGGATGGTTATGATGTGGAGGAGTTGGTGGAAGAAGACAACGAAGAACTGACCACCAAAGAACTCCAAGCCCTTCAAAAGGAACAGCAAGAAGACCCAGCTGAGGATGTTTCTCCAGTGGAGGAGGAGGAGGCAGTAGCGAATGTCCCTTCTGCAGACATTAAGAAGTGGTGTCAGATGTGGGAAGAAATGCAAACTTTTATTGAAAAGACTCACCCAGAGAAAGCTGTAGTAGGCCGTTGCATTAATCTTTTCAATGACAATGTGATGCCTTACTACAGAGACATCTTGCACAGAAGGGAAAAACAAGCTTCCATGAACAGATATGTTGTGAGAACGTCGAGCAGTGAGCCACAACCAGGACCTAGTGATATGCAGGCAAAACGTGCCAGAGAATGCACCCCTGAGAGGTCCTCACTGCCTGATGTTATAATGGAAGGGGACTTCCCTTCCAAACAGTAACTCCTCTCCTCCTTCCCCCTCCTCACCATCTTCCATATGCCAACAGCAGTCATCAGCAAGGGTAAGTAATAACTTGAACATAGTTTTGTAGTGTAGATTTAGTTGAATTAGGTATCAAATTTAGTTTGAAGTGAGGTTTTTGGGTAGTCTGGAACGGATTAATTCATTTCCCATTACTGTATTTCTTATGGGGAAATTAGCTTTGGGTTACGAGCTGTCTCCAGGAACGGATTAAACTCTTAAACCGAGGTACCCCCTGTGTAAACATTTGATAAAACTCATGAGTATATAGGTAAGAATGTACGTGCAGAAGAAACACCAAGTAGGCAGAAGACTGTCTGGATACACAGTGCAAGTGTTTCTAAATAAAATCTTACACATGAATTTTTTTCTTCATTGTCAACACTTTGTGGTCTGCTTAACCATGCTCTCATATACCATTGATTACTCTTTAAATGCATATTTTGACAGTATCTTTATGGGCCTCCTCTAGAAAAGGCCTGCACACTTCTTGTTGCATACATTTCTTTGTGCAATCTCAATTTACAGTAGCTATCATCTCTTAAAACTGCTTACCAAATACTTTTATCAATTTTAGTGTGAACTGAATTTGCTGTATGAACAATGTCATGTTTGAAGTTTTATTGATTTATCAGAAGGATTGGTTCTTATAGCTGGTACTCTAAACATACAGTACAGTACTTGGATTTTACTGATGATTAAATTAAAGTACTGTATATTATAAGGAAAATAATGGGAATTATGAAGATATTTTTAGGGTTTGCTTATAGTAAAATTATTTTCAGAGTTAAGGCCATCATCAGCAGCTGATACGAATTCACCCGGGGACATTGAGGGGCCAGTGGACTGCAGTTCACGGAGCTTCTCTAATTCTTCGGACACCTCGAGTGGCAGTGGCCAACGCCGATGCCCTTCCATTCCAAATGTGGATGCCCTCCACGATGAGCATTCCCATTCACCCTGCAAGGTATGTTCTCAATGTCTATACCACCCATAAAGTGGACTGCCATGGTGATTAACCAGTAGGTTCTAGTGCAGTGCTTTGAGCCTAAATCTTACAATCAATATCAAACAAACGATACGTTCCAACACTTGCCTAAACAAGAAGATACATGTGCTGCTAGTGGTGAATAGAAGGTCAGGATAGGTGTAAGCCTGCTTGTACAGTTCAGCTTACTGGAAGGCATCAGTTAGTCTGCCTTCAGGGGTTGAAGTGAAATATCAATCTTGAGAGAGTATAATGTGGGAAAATGTGCTTCTACAGTAATTAAGAAAAGTAAGAGGAAGGAAAGGGAACTGTCAGGAGAAAGTGCCAAGCCACCATGACTGTGTAGCTCTTGGAAAGTATGAGGATTTGGGATGGGACGGGGACGGGGGGGGGGCCAACCACTTGGACGGTTGGGGATTGAATGCTGACCTGCATGAAGCGAGACCGTCACTTTATCGTCCAGCTCAACCACTTGGTCTGGACGGTAAAGTAAGAGGAGAAAACTATAAATGTTGGGTATAGAATAGAGAATAGTTGCTGATAAGAGTGAAAGGTACAGCTTTTAGAGGCTGGTATGTATGTTAAAATAAATGAAGTGAACAAATCCACAAGGGCCGTAATGAGGGTTCGAACCTACGTCCAGGATTATCCCAGATGCACCGTGGTCGACTGCGCCACAACATGGTAAAAAGAATTGCAACCTGGAGTGCTACTTGCCCTCACGAGGCTCCCGCAGCTTCTCGGCACAAACCGGGGTTTTACACACTTCCCCTCATGCACCCGGGCTCTGTCAACCACATGTTCTACCTCTTTGCTCTTACTTCAGTACACACAGAAATCACACTAGCGTGATGTGTCAAATGAACATTTGTTGCACGAATGTCAGTAGTCACTTTTTGTATTACTAGCTAAGAACTCATTAATGAAGAGTAAGCTCTAGTAATGCAACAATATTTTGCATTGCAGTTAAGTTTGGTAAGTAGGGTGTGTGAGCCACCTCCATCACGAAGCAACCCCCTGGCGGTCAACATTGCCCGCTTGTTAAGTGACCCAGTATTAAGTGACATGAAGTTTGTGGTGGTTCCTCCAGCAGGTGAGCTCAAGCCTCATTTTCTCATTTTTTGACATAAAACTATATTACACCTTTTCATAGGGTGGTACTGCATATCTTTCTAATTATTTATCTATTAAATATTTTTGGGGGCATTGTTTCCTTAAATTGTTTTTTTTTTTTTTTTTTACCTAGATGATGAGGCTTCTCCAACATCAAGTCAAGAAGAACTAGATGTGATTGAAGGCCATGGAGGCAATCAGAGTGCCAGTAAGGAGTCCATGAAGGAGTCCAGCTTAGATTGGTGTGAGTTTCCACAACAGCCACAGTCTGGTATTATGAATGCAGCAGTGCCCAAGGTGTCCTCAACAGTGGTTCGTAAAGTGAAGAAATCTCTGAGTCTAGACCGTCCGTCCGTGCGAGCAGCAGTGCCCACTCAAGCTTATAGTCTTGACTGTGATGCTCTGACTTGTTCTGATAATGTTTTAGTGCCCAATAATTCATTTATGCTTAAAGACTTTAATCAGCATCATTCTGCAGACTTAAAATTTGTACCTAGAAGCACCAAAGAGAGTTCTGATATAGAGGTTAATGATGTTAATGCTAAGTGTGATGGTAATGTTAAGTTTTGTGTTGATGACGCTAAAAGCTTTGACACAAGTGCAAAGTGTAAAACTAAAAACTTCAGTTTAGACGAGACAAAGAATAAAGCATTAAGTGTGGAAAGTGATAACATTTACGATAATACTGATCTTTCTTATAAATTAAGACATTCTTTGAGCCTGAGTAGAGAGCATACTCAGGATGGCTATGGTGGTGAGGACCTGTATGCATTTAAATGTGCTGACAATCACTTGGTAAGACCCATCAGTTTAGGCAGTGTTGATATCTTAGTAGGCAAAGGTGTTGCGCTGAAGAATGAAGTAGAAGATTTTAAAAATAAAAGAGAGCACCAAGTTTTGAAAAAAGACATTAACACAAGGACTGCCAGAGAGAGGAAACAGGAGTCTAGCTCAGATACAGAAATTGGCAATGAAAGTAATATGTCAAAATTATTTGAAGATACCCATTTCAAAATTCACTTAAGTGAAGAAAGTAAACAAAACAACTCTGTAAGAGAGACCGAAAGAAGAAAAGCGTGCGAATCTCAAAGTGTCGAGAGCGGGAAGCAAAATATACCTGAAAGCTCGGAGATGGAAAGGAAAGCAGTGCTAACCAAGGCTCCCAATGTTGACGATGAGAAAATGATCAAGTCGAGCAGCTCAGAGAGCAAAGAGGAACTCGTAGGAACGACGCCCGAGCACAAAAATCGGTACAGCTGGGAAGGGGTGGAGCTGCGTGCTCACAGGGTGGTGGCAGCAGCCAGGTGCGAGTGGTTCAGGAGGGCGTTGCTCTCGGGAATGCGGGAAGCTATTGACAGGTAGGATTATTTTACCAGTGGAGTGATTATGAGTGTGCTAATACTGTAAATACTAACATAATTCAAGTACAGTATATACTTTAGGATTGCTTCACGATGATTCAATTTTCAGCTCAAATATAGAAGATATTACTTTAAAAGTCACAGGCTTTTTGTCTTCTTGCATTATGTTAGTTTTTATTTTTTCTTGTGCAAACTTGTTGCTCTGATCAACTAAAATTTTAAACATTTTTACATATTATTTCAAACATGAGAGCTCACCTTATGTAAAAACTTAGCACTGAAACAGAATTGATTGTGAAGTGTTTTAAATGGCTGTTATTTTCTTGACATTGTACTGAAACATTTATTTTAAAGTATTAGGTGAATATTTTGTATGATTATTGTGCATCTGCACCAATATATGTCAGCTGCTTTGTACTTGGCTGTAAATAATAAGCTAAGAAATAATAAAGTTTTCAAGTACAGTAATTTTCAAAAAATACAGTAGGTTGCTGTAGTCCAGTTGTCAACATTAGCAAACTGAAAAGTATACATTGTCTAACAATGTTGGGAACTATTAAGAGATAAAGTAACAGAATTATTTCAGACAAATATCTACAAAACCTAGTTACCTCATCCCCCTAGTACTGACCCGCCACTCCCCTAGTACTGACCCATCACCCCCTAGTACTGACCCGCCACTCCCCTAGTACTGACCCATCACCCCCTAGTACTTACCCGCCACTCCCCTAGTACTGACCCATCACCCCCTAGTACTGACCCGCCACTCCCCTAGTACTGACCCATCACCCCCTAGTACCGACCCGCCACTCCCCTAGTACTGACCCATCACCCCCTAGTACTGACCCGCCACTCCCCTAGTACTGACCCATCACCCCCTAGTACTGACCCATCACTCCCCTAGTACTGACCCATCACTCCCCTAGTACTGACCCACCACTCCCCTAGTACTGACCCATCACCCCCTAGTACTGACTCATCACTCCCCTAGTACTGACCCATCACTCCCCTAGTACTGACCCATCACTCCCCTAGTACTGACCCATCACTCCCCTAGTACTGACCCATCACTCCCCTAGTACTGACCCATCACTCCCCTAGTACTGACCCATCACTCCCCTAGTACTGACCCATCACTCCCCTAGTACTGACCCATCACTCCCCTAGTACTGACCCATCACTCCCCTAGTACTGACCCATCACTCCCCTAGTACTGACCCATCACTCCCCTAGTACTGACCCATCACTCCCCTAGTACTGACCCATCACTCCCCTAGTACTGACCCATCACTCCCCTAGTACTGACCCACCTCTCCCCTAGTACTGACCCATCACCCCAGACAACTGTTTGCTCCAGGAATGAAGTCATATAAATATTATACCATACTGCTACATAATTTTCATAAATTACTGTACATGCATAATTTGTTGTGTGAAAGAAGATATATTTGGAATTGTTGTTATGAGTGTATATGAGTTAAATGAGTGTCCTCCATAGTTTATACAATTAAAACCTGGTGTTGAGAAGTAAGGTCAACCCGTTCTCGCAAATTTAATAAGTCAATATTGACTTATTAAATATGTGCATAGGTGACATACTTAACATAATAGATACCCTTAAAAAGATTCATAGAAAACACCGACCTTACCTAACCTTGTTAGTATCTTAAGATAAGCATCTTATTGCTTCGTAATTACAATTATTACCTAACCTATTATAGGTATAGGTTAAGTAATAATTGTAATTACGAAGCAATAAGATGCTTATCTTAAGATACTAACAAGGTTAGGTAAGGTCGGTGTTTTCTATGAATCTTTTTAGGGGTATCTATTATGTTAAGTATGTCACCTATGCACGTAGTTAATAAGTCAATATTGACTTTACGAATTTGCGAGAACGGGTTGCAACAGGTAGATAACGTAGAGCCTGCAGCTAACCTTGTAACACCTTACATGTTCTTATCACACTCGTCAAACATTTTGGTGCTTGGGTTAGCTTGCTTCACTAGTCCAGCCTTGACCATAGGCTGCTGTATTGCCAAGGCTCTTGTATCCCACTCTGCTATTACTCGAGACAATTTAAAGAATGTAGGCCTTTAAAAAAGATTCTCATATACTCTTCAATTAGTAAATCATCAGGTAACAAGATGTGTAACACAAAGAAAAATATGATTAAAGGCCAGTATAAATAAAAAGTGAATTCACATCCATTCTGTTAGGAGATAATCTGCACTAATAGCAGGAAATACTAACAATTCACCTAGAAATACTAGAGAATACACCAAGACTAATTGTTGATGAGTTGCTTCTGTCATCCCCTAGATGCATTGTTGTCCACGGGTGCAGTGTGCAGACATTCCAGTTGCTTCTGGGTTTCTTATATGCTGGTCATGTGGAGTGTGGCAACCTTCCTCCCGACCAGCTGGTCGACTTGCTCGTCTTGGCAGACCATTACGGGGTAGGTGCTGCCTCACAATTCCTACTCTAGCACACCATGCTGCATTTGACTCTGCAACTACATGTAATTTTTATCATATCATTTAACAAGGAGCCACTGAGTGTGAACAATCATGGTGTCACCAGGAGCCACTGAATGTCTTGGTGTCACCAGGAGCCACTGAGTGTCTTGGTGTCACCAGGAGCCACTGAGAGTCTTGGTGTCACCAGGAGCCACTGAGTGTCTCGGTGTCACCAGGAGCCACTGAGAGTCTTGGTGTCACCAGGAGCCACTGAGAGTCTTGGTGTCACCAGGAGCCACTGAGAGTCTTGGTGTCACCAGGAGCCACTGAATGTCTCGGTGTCACCAGGAGCCACTGAGAGTGAACAGTCTTGGTGTCACCAGGAGCCACTGAGAGTCTTGGTGTCACCAGGAGCCACTGAGAGTCTTGGTGTCACCAGGAGCCACTGAATGTCTCGGTGTCACCAGGAGCCACTGAGAGTCTCAGTGTCACCAGGAGCCACTGAGAGTCTTGGTGTCACCAGGAGCCACTGAGAGTCTTGGTGTCACCAGGAGCCACTGAGAGTCTTGGTGTCACCAGGAGCCACTGAGAGTCTTGGTGTCACCAGGAGCCACTGAGAGTCTTGGTGTCACCAGGAGCCACTGAGAGTCTTGGTGTCACCAGGAGCCACTGAATGTCTCGGTGTCACCAGGAGCCACTGAGAGTCTCAGTGTCACCAGGAGCCACTGAGAGTCTTGGTGTCACCAGGAGCCACTGAGAGTCTTGGTGTCACCAGGAGCCACTGAGTGTCTCGGTGTCACCAGGAGCCACTGAGAGTCTTGGTGTCACCAGGAGCCACTGAATGTCTTGGTGTCACCAGGAGCCACTGAGTGTCGGTGTCACCAGGAGCCACTGAGAGTCTTGGTGTCACCAGGAGCCACTGAATGTCTTGGTGTCACCAGGAGCCACTGAGAGTCTTGGTGTCACCAGGAGCCACTGAGAGTCTTGGTGTCACCAGGAGCCACTGAGTGTCTTGGTGTCACCAGGAGCCACTGAGTGTCTTGGTGTCACCAGGAGCCACTGAGAGTCTTGGTGTCACCAGGAGCCACTGAATGTCTTGGTGTCACCAGGAGCCACTGAGTGTCTTGGTGTCACCAGGAGCCACTGAGTGTCTCGGTGTCACCAGGAGCCACTGAGAGTCTTGGTGTCACCAGGAGCCACTGAGAGTCTTGGTGTCACCAGGAGCCACTGAGAGTCTTGGTGTCACCAGGAGCCACTGAGAGTCTTGGTGTCACCAGGAGCCACTGAATGTCTCGGTGTCACCAGGAGCCACTGAGAGTCTCAGTGTCACCAGGAGCCACTGAGAGTCTTGGTGTCACCAGGAGCCACTGAGAGTCTTGGTGTCACCAGGAGCCACTGAGTGTCTCGGTGTCACCAGGAGCCACTGAGAGTCTTGGTGTCACCAGGAGCCACTGAATGTCTTGGTGTCACCAGGAGCCACTGAGTGTCTTGGTGTCACCAGGAGCCACTGAGTGTCGGTGTCACCAGGAGCCACTGAGAGTCTTGGTGTCACCAGGAGCCACTGAATGTCTTGGTGTCACCAGGAGCCACTGAGAGTCTTGGTGTCACCAGGAGCCACTGAGAGTCTTGGTGTCACCAGGAGCCACTGAGTGTCTTGGTGTCACCAGGAGCCACTGAGTGTCTTGGTGTCACCAGGAGCCACTGAGAGTCTTGGTGTCACCAGGAGCCACTGAATGTCTTGGTGTCACCAGGAGCCACTGAGTGTCTTGGTGTCACCAGGAGCCACTGAGTGTCTCGGTGTCACCAGGAGCCACTGAGAGTCTTGGTGTCACCAGGAGCCACTGAGAGTCTTGGTGTCACCAGGAGCCACTGAGAGTCTTGGTGTCACCAGGAGCCACTGAGAGTCTTGGTGTCACCAGGAGCCACTGAGAGTGAACAGTCTTGGTGTCACCAGGAGCCACTGAATGTCTTGGTGTCACCAGGAGCCACTGAGAGTCTTGGTGTCACCAGGAGCCACTGAGAGTCTTGGTGTCACCAGGAGCCACTGAGAGTCTTGGTGTCACCAGGAGCCACTGAGAGTCTTGGTGTCACCAGGAGCCACTGAGTGTCTTGGTGTCACCAGGAGCCACTGAGAGTCTTGGTGTCACCAGGAGCCACTGAGAGTCTTGGTGTCACCAGGACCCACTGAATGTCTTGGTGTCACCAGGAGCCACTGAGTGTCTTGGTGTCACCAGGAGCCATACATATATACTCACCTATGTCTAGTATGTGTACTCTTCCAGCCTAATAAATATTTGGAAAATGTAGGGACATGACACTGGTTTTGCTTCTCAGGTGGATGCGTTGAAGCTGCTGGTTGAGTCTGGGCTCGAGCAACATGTTGATGATGAATCAGTGGTGCCTCTGCTCACAGTTGCTCACCATTGTAATGCATCTCATCTCAAGGTATGAATTTTGTCTTCAAAAATTCTTACATATAATTACCTAAGTGTAGTTACAGGATGAGAGCTACGCTTGTGGTGTCCCGTCTTCCCAGCACTGTCATATAACACTTTGAAACTACCAACGGTTTTGGCCTCCACCACATTCTCACCTAACTTGTTCCAAACGTCTTCCACTCTATTTACATAAGTGAATTTTTCTTATATATCTTCAGCAGCTTTGTTTCGTTAGTTTAAGTCTATGACCTCTTGTTCTTGAAGTTCCGGGTCTTGGGAATTCTTCCCTGTCAATTTTATTGATTCCTGTTACCATTTTGTACGTAGTGATCACATTGCCTCTTTTTCTTCTATCTTCTAGTTTTTGCATTTAATCCTTAAACTGCGCATGGTGTATATATACGCCATGAGTAACATGTCCCACCGAGCGCATGACACATATATATGCCATAGGGTGCCAGGCACGATTCAAATGGTCCGCGGCTACACGGGGTTCACATCAGCTTCCTCAGGGCTCTTGTAAACAGATGCCATGTTTAAAAAAAATTGTGGGCAATATTCTCTGGTGTGATAGCCACAGTACTGTGGGAGCAACCAATGCTGGTGCACGCAGCATGAGCTAACAGCATTGCTGTTCAGCTTGTGACCACAGCATCACCTAAAAATGTCAAAATAAATATGTAACTGCTATTATTTAGCAATGACAGTATTACAGATGACCCCTGACTGTGATAAAAATGATCAGGATTGTGATAATAGCAGGATTGTTGTGATAATTAGCACTGTGTGGGAGGAGTAATGCTGAGGGAGGGAAGGAGGTTATTGGCGGATGCTGCCACCAAGGAAGCCGTCCGCTCTTGTCCCATCTCTCGTAAAGGTATTCCATATTCCGACTTTTACCCGGTTATCCATTCCTCCATCCTTACCCTTTGGCAGGCTTGTTGGTCGTCTGTTACTGGTAACAAACTGCGTACTATTAAAGGTTTTGTGTCCTCACGGCCATCCTCCTACCACCGTAACCAGCGATGGGAAACAGGTCTGGCGAGGTTGCGTATTGGCCATACTCGCTTAACTCATGGTCACTTGATGGAGTGCCGCCCTGCTCCTTATTGTCCTAATTGCGTTGTCCTTCTTACAGTCGTGCATGTCCTTGTTGAATGTCCTGACTTCTGGGACGAGTGTGTGTCTTGTTTCCGACCCTCCCTCGCGGTCACTTGTCTCTCGATAGTATTCTTGGTGACTCGGATACTTTTGATATCGTTCGCCTTATGCATTTCTGTTCTCATATTGGCATCCTTGGTGATATTTAGCATTCTCTGATTATTCCGCACCTTTGATGGTGCTACACAGCCTTCCCGGTTTTGTGCCTTCTTTTGATAATTACTTACTTGGGAATATTCAGCAGACCTCTGAGATTCCACCCTTGCCTTCTGGGAGGGATGAACGGTATCTGGCTGAGATGAACGGTGAGGCAAGGGGGAAACTTGGGGGATTTGAGGTCAATCCAAAGCCAAGACAAACCAATATTTAAAGTAAAAGTGCCGCAAAACAAGTAACTGATTGAAGAAATTTTGGTTCCCATAGGTAATAAGGGAATAATTGTTGGCATGAGGTATGGGCCATAACTATGCATGATTGACCTTAACACTTCCAGGTGGCAGCACGGGTCACCTGAGGCTCCAGCCAGCCTGTCCCCTCACTCCAGTGCCTTGTCAACTGAAGCCTGAAGTTGCCTCACTCTCTCTCTACATTATTCTTTTGGTCATCTTCCTTCCCTATTTTAATAACTTGCCATTTATTTAAGATGAAATTTCGTGGCCAATAATCTCTCTCCTAGTGTAGCCTATTTAGGTACTCTGCAGTATTTTACAGTCCTCATCTGGTTTTATACTCCTCTACAGCTCGTTTCAAATAGTGATATCAGTGAATCTTTCTCAGGCAGGTTGTTTATGTAGATGAGGGACAGAAGGGGACTATTAGTACTGCTATATTTTGTTAAAAATTTTGTTGATACTGTCACAATGTAGGTGTATTACACACAATTCTTTCTGGGAGAAGCCCCCATGGCTCCCCAGAGCTATCCAGGCTGATATGCTAATGTCAGACTTTGGCATCAGTCATGTGTATGGAGTTCTTTGGGCCTACCGGGGACCACGGCCAGAACCGGGCCCCCTCAGAGAGGCAAGGGGAGCAATGGCCTATAGAAGCCCCTGTGTGTTGGAAGCATTCTATGTCTGCCATCAACTAGGTCAGGCACCCAGAAAGGTAAGCATCCCAAAACAAACCCCTATTTCTGGTGAAAATATTGCTACCACAAGCCGAACAAGTGGATAGAACTCCCCAAACAAAAACGAGCAAACTAGTATGTCACCCATTGCCGCGCCACTGTCTGTGCAGCTCCCCCCCTCCCTGGAAGGGGGAAGGGGGAGCCCCAGACCTACCGTGCCGGCAATCCACACCCCAGTTCTTGAGGCTGATGCTATAGGCAGCGGTTGTGTGCTCTGGCCCAGACTTTTACGGCGCTGTGCCTTGTGTGTGGCGGCTGTTCTCCAGGGGTGCGAGAGCCAGGAGTTACTCTTCAGTACTCGGGCTGCATGCGCCTAGGGTTCCCTTCCTTAGGTGCCTTTTAAGTACTGCCCTTGGAGTTTGTGGTTACCTTCCACAGGTTCCTTGGAATCTGCCTCCGTGGGTCCGTTTAACTGCTCAGTTTTTCGGCCGCCCTTTGGGTGCTTGGGTGTTTTGTCTCCCTAGTTTACCTTAAGGTAGGAGACAGTTTTGCACTGGTAAGGGGCGCAGGGTGCTGTGCAGCAAGTTGTCGTCTATCACAGCGGCCGGCTCTGTTCCTTGGGGTAAGCTGTCCTCTTGTGGGGTTTTGTTTTCTTTTTCTTTTTGCCTTGGTAGGTGGTTCTGCCCTACTTGCCACTGGTGTTTGGCCTCATCCTGATACTTGGTGGTGTCCCCTGCTAGGTCCCCGCGAGCTTACACGTTCCTGGGGTTCAGCTGTAGACAGTTTGTTTGGTAGTTTTGAGCGCCGGTTAGCAGTACCCTGCCTAGGTTTACCTGTGCGCAAGTCCTCTTATAGTAAATGCTCAGGACCCTGGGAATCCCCTAGGGGACGCGTGGGTCTGATGGATGTGACCCCGGAGTCCCCCCCCTCGCTTCATGCAAGTTTGAGGGTTGTTCAGTCCCCTTGTCTCAGGGCGACCCTCACGGTTTCTACCTCTGTCACGCTGCCTGTTGGGTCGGTGACTCTCTTTGACCCTGAGTCCTGTGAGTTTTGCTGCATGCTGGTGACTCAATTTACCCAATCTGCTGATAATCATCTTCGGCGTGCTTGGTTGGTTGCTCACCCGGATGCCCTGCGGCTGCCCGTTTTGCTTATAGGGACCCAGACTTGGGGGTGGGGGGGGGGGGTCGCCTTGTCCCTGGTTCTGTCCGCACCTCCTCATCCTTCCCCTCTTGTTGTTCGTTCTGGTCCCCCTCCCCTGCTTCCGGCCCCAAAATGTCTGAGCGTTTCGGAGTCGGGGCATGGGCTAGTTGGTCTTCAGACTTGGGCAGCCTCGGGGGATGCCCCTTCCGGTGTGGCAACGGAGGCATTCAAGTCTAGTCCCCCGGCCGAAGCCTCTGGGTCTGACCAGTGGGCCCCCTTCTGTCCGGCTTCTATGACTGCGCCGGCCTTGTCTGGTGGGGTCGGTGCTTGGGGGGAGGATTCGGCCCCGGGTCCTGCAAAGGATGACCTTGGGCTTGAGAAAGGGCTGACTTGGGGGCCTTGGGCCCCACTGAACCCCGCTGGACCCCGCCTGGATTTTTCTGCCCTCTGAGCGGGGCTTATTGTTACAAGGAGTGGGGGTTTTCTTTTTCCCCCTCTGCGTACTAGTTGGACTTGGTGTCTGCCTCTCCCCTGGTTCGGTTCCGTGTTCCCCCGGGTGCTTTGGTTCTGTCTTTCCGGAGGTTTTCGGCTTATCGCATCCAACCTGTTGCAGTGTGGGCGGCCCTTGCGGCAAACCTCCTGCGTGACACGGATTATGCCTCGGCAATGGATTCCTCGGCTTTCAGGTTTGGGGCTTCATTCCTTTTCTGGCTCCATTACAAGGTTCCGGAGTCGTCCTGGCTGGCGGACAGTCCTGTCTTTACCTTGAAGGCCTAGCACTCCTTTTACCATTTCCTCACGCTTGAGTGGCGGGAGGCTTCGACGGTGCTGCAGGTTTTCCTGGGGGGTCGACTTAGAGCACCTCAATGAGTGCTTGTTTGGTCCTGCCCTTTCCAGGGATGTTGTTGTTGTTCAGCTCCATGTGCAGGTTCCCTCCCTTTCGACGGCGCAGGTGGCTGAGGCCTTGCGCGCACGGGGCCTTTTGTCTTCGGCCTTGCGTTTCTTTTCCCTCCTCGAGCTGTCTTCGGACTGGCTCACGAAGGATGTGGGGGCGCTTGGGGCTGTTCCTGGTTCTGGCGCCTTGGCCCCGGCTGCTCGCTTGTTGGCTGCCTTGCTGAAGCTTTTTGCGCCGATCTTGCAGGGGTGTGGTTGCGCTGTTTTATGCTTTCCGGCTCGCATGTCAGCAGGCGATGCTTGCCTCCTCTGTGGAATTCCCTTGGGCCTTGGCTGTTAGGATGTCTTGCCTCTCTGAGGGGGGCTAGGTTCTGGCTGTGGTCCCTGGTAGGCCCAAAGAACTCCATACACATGACTTATGCCAAATTCTGACATTAGCATATCCTGGATAGCTCTGGGGAGTCTCCGGGTCTCGCCCAGAAAATGGCGTTTCTTACATTCAACACTGATTTTTTACCATGTCATAACGCAGTCAATTAAGGCAGTGTCTGGGATGCTCTCGGATGTAGGTTCGAACCCTCGTCACGGCCCTTGTGGATTTGTTCAATACAGGTGTATGTTTTGAGTGTAGAGTATGTATTGATTATGTGATACTTTACAGGAAGTGTGTGTGCATCACTGTGTTGTGAGTGCTGTGGTGTTAGAAGGGGAGACGTTGGCTCAGTTGCCAGAAGATCTCCGACAGCACCTCACCATGGCTCTGGGAAAACATAGGTAGGCTCTTTGTGTCTTCATATTAATCTAGTGTTGTGGTTGGTATGCATGCTCATCTTGCCTATCTGTGTTGAGATACCTTATCATTTGTATTATTTATGGTGTATACATTTTTATAGTGAGCTAAAAATTGGTGTTAAAACACTTGTTTCCTTCATAATTAATTGTTGGCCTTGGGTGACTTTAACTATAGATTGAGTGTATATATAATATTTCTGTGGAGGAGCCTCGTCGACTTCCTGGAGCTATTGGACTGATATTAGCTAATACTAGTATGGGGCTTCAGTCATATGTTGTCATGCCTGCTACTGGGGACCATTAGCCAGAACCTGGTCTCAGAGAAGCAAAGGGAACAATGGCCTATGATACTCACATGTATGAAAGTATTCATGTCTGCCATCAACCAGGGTTGACCACCCAGAGACGTAGGCACTTCAAAACAGACCCCTACTGGTAGAAATATTGCAACCTGAGACCAAATAGAGGTGAGAAACTCCACCAAAGAAAAACCAGCCAACAAGCAACACGTCATCACACCGCGCCGACCTCCGACACCCCCCCGTCCTGAAGGGGGATTAGGGGCCCCAGCCCACTGAGCCAGCAGCCGGACCGTCCATTTGTCGGCTGAAGCTATATGGGGTGGACATCTGCTCTGAGCTTGATTATCCTGATTGGCTTCACCATGCTGGTGTTCCTTCTGTGTGTTGGTGGTGGCCAGGAGTTTGTACCAAGGGCTGCATGTGCTTAGGGCTCCCTTCCCTGGGCGCCCTGTGAGTATGCCCCTTGGGGTTTAGAGCCATCTTCTGTGGGTCCTTCAGGGTCCCCATTCCCGTAGGCGTAGTTTTCTGCTACAGAGCACACTTGGTTTCCAAACTTTAGTTATCCGAAAACTTCCAGTTTCCCGATTAGGGTTGGGAAGTCATGCTACCCGAACAGAGTTCCGGTAGGAAGGGGTCCGCCAAGCGTCGCGCTGGCCTGCGGTGGTGGGTGGGAGATGGTCCAGTTTGCCCACTGTGACTTCACAGATTCACGGCCTATTATTCATATTATTTTAAATTGTCATGAGACTGGAATGTTCATTCTGTGCTTTTGTTTTACATATCTGCACAATCAAGAAACATCTGTGCACCATGTCGGCTCCAAATGTGAACGCATTACGTCAGTGATGGCTGACTGGTGGGTGGATGGATGGGAGAGCTTAGGTGGGAGGCAGTATGAGAGAGAGGGGGGGGGGAGAATCAGTGAGAGAGGGGGAGAATTAGTCAGAAAGGGAGGGAGAGAGAGATGCTAGAAGGGAGAGGGAGGTAGGGAGAGATGCTCAGAGGGAGGGGGAGGTAGGGAGAGATGCTAGGAGGTAGGCAGGAAGGGAGGGAAGTAGTGAGGGAGGATAGGAGAATTAGGGATTGAGGGAAAGGCAGGCAGGCTGGTTGGCAGGCAGGCAGGCAGGCAGGCAGGCAGGCAGGCAGGCAGGCAGGCAGGCAGGCAGGCTGGCTGGTTGGCTGGCTGGCAGGCAGGCAGGAAGAGATGGATGAGTGTTGAGGTGAACCACGTGACCTTTGAGAGTGTGTGTGTGTGTGTGTGTGTATGGGTTAGGGGTTGGGGGGGGGAGGTGTGTCGGTGGTGGGGGAGGGACCGGCTGACTCCGTAAGCTTAACCACACTCGACAGACCTGTGACCCAGATTTGTTTCTTAAATGTACATCGTGTATATTTTTGGCAGGCTGGCAGAGAGGGAGGGAGGCAGGCAGGCAGGCTGGCAGAGAGGGAGGGAGGCTGGCAGGCAGGCTGGCAGAGAGGGAGGGAGGCTGGCAGGCAGGCTGGCAGAGAGGGAGGGAGGCTGGCAGGCAGGCTGGCAGAGAGGGAGGGAGGCTGGCTGGCAGGCTGGCAGAGAGGGAGGGAGGCTGGCAGGCAGGGCTGGCAGAGAGGGAGGGAGGCTGGGAGGCAGGCTGGCAGAGAGGGAGGGAGGCTGGGAGGCAGGCTAGCAGAGAGGGAGGCAGGCTGGCAGACAGGGAGGGAGGCTGGCAGAGAGGGAGGGAGGCTGGGAGGCAGGCTAGCAGAGAGGGAGGGAGGCTGGGAGGCAGGCTGGCAGAGAGGGAGGGAGGCTGGGAGGCAGGCTGGCAGAGAGGGAGGGAGGCTGGCAGGCAGGCTGGCAGAGAGGGAGGGAGGCTGGCAGGCAGGCTGGCAGACAGGGAGGGAGGCTGGCAGGCAGGCTGGCAGAGAGGGAGGGAGGCTGGCAGGCAGGCAGGCTGGCAGAGAGGGAGGGAGGCTGGCAGGCAGGCTGGCAGAGAGGGAGGGAGGCTGGCAGGCAGGCTGGCAGAGAGGGAGGGAGGCTGGCAGGCAGGCAGGCTGGCAGAGAGGGAGGGAGGCTGGCAGGCAGGCAGGATGGCAGAGAGGGAGGGAGGCTGGCAGGCAGGCTGGCAGAGAGGGAGGGAGGCAGGCAGGCAGGCTGGCAGAGAGGGAGGGAGGTTGGCAAGCAGGCTAGCAAAGAGGGGGAGGGAGGCTGGCAGCCAGGCTGGCAGAGAGGGAGGGAGGCAGGCTGGCAGGCAGGCAGGCTGGCAGAGAGGGAGGGAGGCTGGCAGCCAGGCTGGCAGAGAGGGAGGCAGGCTGGCAGGCAGGCTGGCAGGCAGGGAGGGAGGCTAGCAAGCTAGCTGGCTGGCAGGCTAGCTGGCTGGTAGGCAGGCAGGCATTCTAGCTGGCTGGCAGGCAGGCTGGCTGGCTGAAAGGCTGGCTGACTGAAAGGCTGGCTGGCTGACTGGCTGGCTGGCTGACTGGCTGGCTGACTGGCTGGCTGAAAGGAAGGGATGGATGGGTGTTAAGGTGAACCACGTGACCTTTAGAGAGGGTGTATGGGGAAAGGGTGGAGGGGTGTATCTGGTGGGTGAGGGACCGGCTGACTCGGGTAAGCCGAAACACCCTCAACCCATTAGCCAGATTTGTTTTTTAAATGTACATCATATACAATTTTGGTTACAGGTTTTGTTTAGTAATATTATTAGGACAATAAATAGTTATAAAAATAGTTATTTCATTAATGTTTTATTTTATTAGATGGAGATTCTCTGGCAATCTACTAAGCTAGCTACTTTGGGGGGGTGGGAGGGAGGGCAGCAACAGTGAAGGTGTACTAGTTGTCCTTGCAGGGTTGAGCTCTGGCTCTTTGGTCCTGCCACTCCTGAGGGAGAAGTGGATCAGGACTTCTCTAATTGGCAAGTGCAAACAAAATACTGTTGCATTCATGCTATGAACCTGTCGATTTTTTAGCTTAGATTTTTTATTTTTTATCTCTCCATTTTCCTCCATTTCTCGTTTACGAACTTACACGATAACCGACGAGTCTCGTCCCCAAGGGGTTCGGAAACCAAGTGGTGCTCTGTACCTCGCCTTTGGGATCAGCTTAGGCCCCAGTACTTTTATTTGGCCCTGGGTAGGGAGTGGTTAGTCGCTGGTTGGGGCTCGCAGGGCTGCCCAGTTTGCATAATCACAGGGGCCATGACTCTTTCTGGTCCACTGGGTTGTGGTGCTTCCTCAGAGTTCTTTTTCATACTTTAGTTTGCTTTCTAGCCCGTTGAGAGGCTGCCACAGTCCATATGAAGTGCTACCTAGATTCAGTAGGGCGGTGGTCCTCCGGGGTTGTTCACCTCACATGGGCCAGTTTGCTCGGATCACTTACGGGGATACAACTGGCTTTGGTGGTCCAACACCTAAGCTTCCCATAGGGACTCATCCCCCTGCGAGCCCTGGAAAACCCCATCGGGACTTTGTTGACCATGATGGGTGAGTCTTCTGAGCCCCATCTTGCCTTGTGGGAATTCTGGGGTTGCTCATTGCCCCTGTCTCAGGGTGATGATCACCTGTACTCACCTAGTTGTGCTTGCGGGGGTTGACCTATGGCTCTTTGGTTTGACCGTCAATCTACTGGTGTACAGATTCCTGAGCTTCTCGAGCTCTATTATATCTACATTTGAAAACTGTGTATGGAGTCAACCTCTACATTTCCTCAGACATGAGTCTGAGGAAATGGAATTGGAACAGAAAGCTATACAAGAGATAAGGAAAAATCCGAAATATTTTTTCACATACGCAAAATCAAAATCCAAAACCTCGACCAGTATTGGACCGTTAATTACAAATGAAGGTACGTACACAGAGGACAACAAAGAGATTAGTGAAATTCTAAGAAGCCAGTATGAGGCTATGTTTAGCACACCAATAAACAACATGAAAGTTGATGACCCAGACAGCTTCTTTATGAATGACATTCAAGCTGCAGATAATATAACGGATATTACCACAAACTCGGAAGACTTTGAAAGAGAAATTGATAATATGCCTATGCACTCAGCTCCTGGGCCTGACTCATGGAATTCAATATTCATAAAGAAATGTAAAGTACCAGTAGCGAGAGCACTCAGCGTAATATGGAGAAAGAACCTGGATACAGGGGAGATACCAGCAGCACTTAAATCTGCAGATACAGTATAGCTCCGTTGCACAAGGGGGGGAGTAAAGCCTTGGCAAAAAATTATAGGCCAGTTGCACTAACATCACACATAATAAAAGTGTTTGAAAGAGTGATTAGGAATCAAATTTCTAGTTTTATGGAAAACAATGAATTGCACAATCCAGGACAACATGGATTTAGAGCAGGAAGATCCTGTCTGTCACAGTTACTCAACCACTATGACAAAATCACAGAAGCCCTAGAAGAAAAGCAAAATGCAGATGTTGTATACACAGACTTTGCAAAGGCGTTCGACAAATGTGACCATGGGGTGATAGCTCACAAAATGAGGTCAATGGGAATAACTGGAAAAGTAGGACGCTGGATACTCAATTTCCTGTCGAACAGAACACAAAGAGTAACAGTCAATCAGATAAAATCGAGTCCAAGCGATGTTAAAAGCTCTGTACCTCAAGGTACAGTCCTTGCACCGCTACTGTTCCTTATTCTCATATCTGATATAGACAAAAATACACGCCACAGCTTCGTGTCGTCCTTTG